ACTCTCTCACACACACACACACACACACACACACACACACACACACACGTGAACACAGACGCACTTTACAGACTGTAAAAAGGGTATGGGCTCACATTGCACTAAGCCATTATTAACACCCACATCAGACAAGCTAGAGAGCCGGTGGTTATTTAATCTAAAGTGATATGAATGCAACGATATCTTCAGTTTGCGTGTGTGTGGGTGCATGTCAGTGCAGTACAGTACAGTACAGTACAGAAGTAAGCAGACATGATATATATGTGTGTACTTGTGCGTCTGTCCTTTAGATTGACAGCAACACAAATCAGGATGGTACTGATCCAAGATTTACTCACATGATCCCTGACCCTGAACACGTGAGTAACTCAGACCTGAAGGGTGTCTGTGTGCTTAAAAAGTGACGACAGTAATGACGGCATTTACCACATGATGACGCGCATTGCTCTCTGTTCACGCTAACCATATAGCCACATCTTGACCAATGACTTCGCAGAACAACATCAGTCCTTTGGAGGAAAACTGTCTGATATAAATGACTCCCTACTCACCGCCTGGTTTCTTTCAGGCAGCCGGTAGTTGTGGTTCTGCAGCAGTCGACAGCCGTCCTTGGCCAGCCGCTGAACGGCCTCCAGCCCCAGCCGGCTGGTCAGCTCCTCACGCCCGCACACGGTCCCCATTCCTCCCCCGCCGCCGCCACCACCGCCGCCGCCGCTGCCGCCGCCATCCCGCAGCGCACACACCCCGCTCAGCTGCAACACAGGTGGCATGAACACATATCTCAACCCGCAGTCCCAAGACATGGTGGAGACGCTCACAAAGTGTGTGTGTGGGATGGAGGTCAAGAAAGTTTAGTATTTTTGTTCCAAGGGAGACCGAAAGCAGTTTGAGCATAATCCAAAAACTTGCAACAAGTTTTTCCTTTGCCCCTTTATGCCCATGTGAGGAGAATGAGATGAAATGGTAATCCTGTCTGTCTTGTTCTCTCTCTAATTCTTCCTGATCTCTTATTCCTTTTATCTATTACAGTCTGTTGCACTTCTCTCTTTGTCTCAGTCTGACTGCTCCGTGTCAGAGGATCTGGCGGAGAAAGAGAGAGTGTGTGTGATTAGTAGCATAAGTGGGCGGGAGTGTGTGTGCGTGTGTGTGTCTGGGAAGAGTGTGTGCTGGGGGTGTGTGTGTGTGGTGCCTATCTGTCTCCTCCCCTCTATAGTTGGGACTCGTTTTAACCATCCGACCGATGTAGATAAGTGTGTAAATGTGATTATCTAACAGTGATGTTTAGTGAGAAACACAGAGCAGCAGACACTAAAACCTAAAGACACGAAGAGAAAGAAAGACAGAAAAAATGAAACAGAAAGAGAACAGATTCCATCAAAAGAGCTGCAGGACAACGGATAAACTAATGGCTTTGTCCTCGAAGTGACAGAAAACATGTCTGTGTGCGTGTGCTCCCTAAGGTGCTGCTAGTCGATGGTTATCACCAGTGGCGGCCAGCCTGATCTGTTTATTTTCCTTGGAGAAGGAAGAATGAGTTGTATTTCATTTGGCTCAGAGTTAACCCTTCCTGTGAGCTCAACTATCCCACGGTGCCATGCTCTAACAGAGGGTAACACACACACACACACACACACACACACACACACTCAACATGAAAGCATACTCCCACGCATTTTGTTTACGAGGAAAACTCTTATCTGCTAGAATAGCCACGTACACACACACACACTATATCAGAGCCACAGCCCCCTGTCCCTTGCTGCTTCCTGTTAACCTGTGTTCAACTTCCTGTCCAAGATAAACCTGTCTGTGTCCAAGTGTTTTTATTGTGCGTCTGTCTCCGTCTATCTCCCTTTCTCTGCCATTGTATCCTTAATTCTTCTTTGGTCTCTTGTGTTTGACATCTATGATAAGCTAAAACCTGCAGTAGGCGGATAGATAACTGAAACTAAAGTGGTAGTTGTGTGTGGTTTAGTGTCCTCCTTCTCCTTTTGTCAAATAAACTAAAATAATACTCATGTTACCACTATGATAAATGCCTATATCATTGGCAATTGACATTTAATTAATTTTAATCTAACATTCCATTTGTAACTGACCGAGAGAGAGAGAGAGAGAGAGAGAGAGAGAGAGAGAGAGAGAGAGAG